TTCTCTTGTTAATAAGCACAAAGTATTCCTGCTAATGACCTTCTGTGCATTCACGCTGTTTTCACCTCGCTTTTAGTTTTGTTTTGTACGTGGTGCTACTCAGCAAATGACAAGGACAAAATGCATGATTATTATAAATGATGGGATCGACTCATCGGTTTGTGCTGACACCGTAAATTCCGATATCCGTAGGCTTAAGGTAGTGCAAAAATACGAACTAAGGACCTAGATAGACGATAATTAAGCTTTTCATTTACCTTGTTTAAGCGTATTTTACCTTACATTGCCCGTGGCTGCTGGCAACAACAAAATTCGCGACGTACTCCTCCACGAACGGTCACAGTTCAATATTTTAGTCAAACTATGCACTTCCCACGGAAACTAATACCAGGCAAGAGTAAAGAATATGCAACTTTGAATATTCATATATTCAAGAAAACAGAATATCGAGAGGATCGCACCGTAGAACGAGCGACTGCTGGAAGAAACATGGCCTTTTAATGTATCTCTTGCTTTTGTGACGGGGGATGATGGGTTTCTTGCCTGGTAGAAATTGGCCTGCGCATTTGTCAGGCACAACCACGTTGATCTCTTCTCATCGACCTTTTTTTAACGCCGTGCATCGAGTTGAAGACTTGGGTTTTTCACGGTTGACGTGCAAAACTGCGAAGAGCTCACGATCGAACTTTCTTTCGTCGGTCGGTGACGGCATGATTGTGTTGCTGTGGCGAGGATATCTCTTATCTTCAGCAGGCGCTGCACGATGCCGACCCCGAGACTCTGAGAGCTGCGGCGAGTGTTTGAATCTTTGGTCACATTAGGACGAAAGTGTTTAAATGCTCGCGCAAATGCGAAGCTTGTGTTATTCAATCCTCCTTGTTTTTGTCCTTCTTTTTGCTTTCTACACGACCATAGATGCCCCCAAATCAGACAATTATTGTATTGGATACATGGCATTGCGATAGATCCGTGGCTGCACTGAATATGGACAGCAGCGCTGGAGATATAACCACTTACTGAAGGAATCCATCGCTAGATCGCTTTCCTTAGAAAAACTCCACCTCAGTACGACACCGCTCATTGGACAGATTCGTCATCAGCACCTTTAACCTTTGAAGATAATAAAAAATTGCAGCGGGTAAAGTCCTCTGCTGAGGCTTATTGAGGGCTTACATGGCATTCAAGTATCAGCTTAAAAAATCCTTTCAGCAAAAAAATATAAGTCTTAATGCTACTGGAAGCTTTTGAGGGGAACCACAACGTTAATTCACTTTTTTGTAGTTCACTTAACTTCCTAAAATTACAAACAACTCAATCTCAGGGATAGCACTCGCTTGTACCGTCACACCACAAGCTGCCTACATAACACAGAATAATTGGTGCTACAAACCTTCATGTACACGCGTCGTGCAGAGGAAGGTTCCAACACGAGAAAAGAGGTCAAAGCAGGACACCATTTTGTACACCTTAGTCCTTAGCTCATAAATCGTGTTCAATCTTCATTTCTATAATAATGTAAATGCAAGCACACATTGTGACTATCTGCTCACCACTCATCACATTCTGCTGTCGAGGCTCAACTAAATTGATTAAAATTAAATTTTAAATCTATACTAACTGTAAATCATTTGGTACTACTCCTGCACCACAATAAACTTGTAAAGCCAATATTGCTGAGAATGAAATGTTTTGTTTAATATAATATGCTCACTTGATATTATCTTATGCTAAAATATCATGTAAACGAAGGCACCTCTAACCATCACCCAGCCTTAACCATCAGTCATAGTAGTGACTGATTGATAAATAAGTGACTTCAATGAGTGACTCTGAGAAATGAAAGCACTTTTTGCTCAACATTAACCATTCCTCTGGTCTTACGCGTGCTTCCGAGTCCATGCCGAGTGCAGCCAAAGCTGCTGGGAGTGCAGCTATGAGAATACGATCTGTGGCGGATGAGGCAAAGGACTTGATTGCAGCGCGCGATGACCTGCCTGCTGCTTCACTCTACTAAGCCTGCGGCCGTCGCTGCTGGAATTTAACGCCGGCGACCTACACGCCTGGCTGTGTCCTCGAATATTACGATCTCGAGCTAGTGTACTCTGGCGAGTAGGATGACGACACCAACTCGACAAAGACAGCCGCAATGGAAGATCAAAAGTGGCTGAGACAAAGCTTAGCAAGCCGGATTCGCATATTTTAATGAGCCTCGCTGAGCGTTTTAACATCTTAGGATCGTACAGTGAGGTGGACGCTCTCTGCCTCCAAAGCGGAATCGTTCGCTCGAGAGTAATCAATGCGGTGGCAGGAGCCAGTATAACGATGAGGGCTGGTGAAGCAGTAATGCATCAGAAGTCAAAAAGAATGTGATGTACAAAGTATCATACTTCAGCAGACATCAAAGAAAAGGTGCCAGAGATCGCGACGTTATGTGCGCTGCTCCTTAGAAGAAGACTTGGCTGCCTCGTCAGCGAGTTTTAGATAGCTTGTCCGACACGGTAAGCGATCGTCATCGAACACAACCCTTCGAATGTATCAAGGCTTGATGGACTTGACTTTAGTGCGAGTGGCTTTTGCACTGGGCACGAATTTCTCAAGCTGATGTTTTTGTACACATGCATGAGTACGACGGTAACCACGTACGTGACGCCTCCGGACAAAGTGACTCTTCCATTAACAAAGCGCGAGTGTTTACCGTTGATAAGGCGATATTAGTCTTGATTCAAAGCTGTCACTTACTTTCTCTTACGACCTTCTAAATCTGTCCCAGTTTCCGGCCTTTGTATCGGATACTGCGGACCTACCCTACAACCCCCTCCGGGCGCTCCCCCAAAGCCCGGAAAGTAACGAACATCGTCTACCAGGAGGTGGCAACCGTCGGCGGCACAGCAACAGTCGGCTGCACAGCACGAAATGTCATGTGGACGAAACCTCAAGCTAGACAGGTAAACACTTCCACCAACAGGTCAACACCAAATTTACAAATCCATGCAAACAGCAAGTTGCTGGTCCCACGTATACCCTGGAGCTATCAACTTGAGGGGTGACTCTCGATCCGAGATCATATCAAGATCAATCATACAGTTACAGAATGTCGTCCCAAAGTTAGGCCAAATTGGGCAGAAAGCACAGCGACGCTTGCAGTAAGATCGACGTCGCTTCGCTCTTCGATCCCAAACTCCTGGCCAATCAACGGCGCAGAGGAGATCCAGCGCCTTGTCATCATCTACTATCCGATATCCGAAACGGACCGGACGCTGAGATGCGCTATGCAAAGAGTCCGTCACTTTCAAACTTTTGTCATTGTCAACAAGGGACTATAATCAAGAAGTGAGGTAAAAATGCCGGATCAGCTGGAGAAGACGCGAACGAAATGGGACCATTTCGGTGGGCGATTCACCGAGACGGCAAATAAACACATGACGATGCAAAGCGCTCAGCATCTGCACTCGCACATGCAGTTGGATCTCGCTCACAACGTGCTCGAGGTCGCGGCAGGAGCTGGGTTAGGCTCACTTGACATTGCTCAGTACCTACTGGAGGGTCGTTCGAAGGTCCCGAAAGAGACCAAACGGACTTTCACTGTGACGGACTTGTCACATGTGATGGTCGACATGGCCACGAAAAACCTGAGCGGAGTCAGCTCGGAAAGTCTCGAGATCAAGTGCTGCGAAGCAAATGGTGAGCCACTTCTCAAACAATTCTCCTACATATTGATCGATCCTTCGTTTATTTTTGCCATTTTAAAAGTTTGGGAGCTTCTAATCGAAGTAATGATGTGATATATGCAGGGCAAGACTTGAGTGACGTCAAGACTAGCTCGGTTGACCGCTACGTTTCCAGCCTCTCTCTACAGCTAGCACCAGACCCCGACGCGTTGCTCCACGAGGCCAGTCGAGTGTTGGCCGATGATGGAGTTGCGGGATTCACCATTTGGGGATCACCCGACCGTACTGGACTCATTGTTATCAGCACAGCTGCAAACAAAGAGCTGGGCTTCGAGGAGCACGTGGTGGAACATCCGAACTTTGCCATGGGCAAGGACCTCCCGGCACTGCGTCAGCGTTTCGCTGCGGCCGGGTTCAAGCAAGTGCGAATTTGGCCCTTCCAGTGCATAGCAGAGCTCTGGAGCGGCGAAGAGTTTGCCAAATTTCACGAGGAATTGTTCCTGGCCAAGGACGAGGAGCTACACGCCAAGCGCTTTGAAATCGTCAAACGCATGGCTGACGAGTGGCTCGCCAAGGGCACTCCAATCGGGTTGGAAACCTACGTCATCCTCGCCAGAAAGTAGCCCTGATCGAGGATAGCTTCTGCGACTCTACCGTAAATCGAGCTAACTGAAGTTTGCCATTTGCTCTAGTACACTAACGGGAAAAAGTTGACATCGTTGGTCACCGAGGTTCATTTGAAGGAGGTAGTTCTTTCCGGGTTGCAGACTCCACCCGTCATCTCATAAGTGCTCATTGGCTTTCAAAGTTTGGTACAAATGTGGAAATGGTAATCGAAAGGATCTGGGTTGAACTCGATAAATCTTGATCTTTGTTAGATGTACAGTCCTCTCTCTGCTAACTGATGTTCTCGTGGACACACTTTCTTATGGGTTGTCACATGTTATTAGCTATTGGATTACAGCGGCGTCATACGTACACAAGTGTAAAATCAATTAATTATAGCAAGAAAAAGCGAAGATCTTAACCAGAACCACCGACTCCACTTCTACCCCAGAACCAAACTCCACACAACCAGTAGAAAATGACCCCTAGAGAACCTAAAAACCACCAGCACAGGTTTTCATTTCTGGTTCAGGTTGTGCTTCAAGGTCAGAGACACGTAGCCATTACGGTCGTGTGCTGGGACTGGCTTTCTTTGTGAGGAACAAAGTGTAATTGTTTTTAGCTGACTCTTCATTGAGGAGCTTCTCGACTCTATCGAAGAAGACGAGAGTGCTCAGCCAGAGCTCAACGATCAAGAGATTATAGGTGCAGGGCAGGATATGGAAGGTAAAGAAGAAGCTGCAGCAGAGGATGAGGAGGCAGTTACCGATAGATTCACCACTTCCAAGAAGACCAACATCTTAGGGAGTGCCTGTACCTTGCATCATCTGTCCTAGGAAGTCCACCGTTCTTCCTAGCTACTACGCATCCTTCAGGCTGAAATTTGCAGTGCCATCACCACACAAACCCTCGATGTCTTGCGAGAATAGGTTTGGTCCCGCATATTTGATAAAAACATCCCTCTATACACTTCTACCTGGCTTCTCGACTATCAGATATAAGTAAGCGACCACATAGCGACCATAAGACGACCACGGTGGACGTCCAATCCTAAAAGGTAGCGGAGGCTAAAAGTTATCAGGGGGATAGTTATCAGAAAGAGGACCGTACACTGTGGCAGCAATATCCGACAGTGGCAAGGCATCCGCTCGTACCTCTTCACGTTTCAAGGTCTCTTCTGCATGTTGTGTCTTCGATGTAAATTTGAGACGGTGGTGCATATAACGCAGCACTACTATATACGACTGCCCTCCATCCAAGAAAGGTGTTTCTGGTTTTGCTAGCGTCAAAGACTTGCTACAGTAAAGCGATAGTGATGAATATGACCTAAGAGCGAGTATTTGCTACTACCACGCGCGCGCCGATTAACCTAAGACCTGCACGGGATATTCCTGTATGCAAGGTCCTTAAAACACGTGTAGTGTTAAGCGGTTCATCCGTTGTTGTTATTGAACATGAAGCCATACGTCATGCGATGCCAAGTTGCTGACTTTGCACCTTTAAAACTACGGAAGAAGACAGTAAGTCTAAGTTTTCAGGTTTGGGTGGATGAGGGTGCTCCAAATCCGTAAATTAGGTCGTATCGACCTATAAAATACAAAGCAGCAGCGTGTTAGTTAGTTGCAAAGGACAACGTTGCAGATAGATATCCATAACATGTTGACATAAAACATCCTGCTACTGTTTGACATGTCTAGCGATAAAGCTCAGCACCTGACATGAGTTGTCAAAACATGCCAGGTAGCGCTTGATTTCGGATGTATGTTGCGGTGTCTCGATAATCTAGTATCGAGCTCTGGTTGCCACAACTCAAGCTGCTTTTGATGTGCTTCTTATCCAAATCGAGCATCTTCGGCTTCGTTTACAGCATCAGACTCCTTCTTGGTGTGTCATCGAGGAAAAGGCTAGTGTTATAAAACGCACTTGAACATGACGGTATTTCAGAAGATCGTGGTAGGTTAAGAGCTAGTGGATAAGTCTGCGGCTCACTCCCCAATCATCGAAATCGTTGCCAAAACGATCGTTTGTGACACATTCGTGCCCACCATTGCTTTTTGCTTTGAGAACACGATGGGAGCCCCACGCGTTAACGTGTGAGAAAAATACTCACCGGTTAATTTGAAGTGACGAGGAGCCGAAGAGACAACCAAGCAATCTTGTACCCGCGTAAACCTCAGTAACTTAAATTTGTTTAACCACGACAATAATGTAATTCCTACGCACTTTCGTACCGATCTGACTTCACCGCGTGACCGCTTCGTATAACTGTGACTTTTACACAAGATACATTTGAATTATAGTTATGATGACAATTATATTATGGTACCATCGATTTTAGGACGGACTACTTTTCATTTGAACATGACTAAACGTGCCAGGTTGGACACATTAGACATTGTCACAAAATTGGAACCTTGTGGAAGCACGCGATGTCGTATAGAAACGTCTGTGGAATGATAGGAAGTGATGGTTGCGGCAGTGTGCCAAAATGATACTTGGATAGCAGTGTGGAGTCAGGCAGATAATCTTCTGACTTGAATCGCAACAAAGCCTGTTCGTGGTAAGAAAAGTTTATCGAGTCGAGAATACATTCTCAGTGTGTGTTTAAACACCAAGAGATTTCCATTTTTGTTTTTATACGATCGAAGACCTATCGATAGACGAATAATTTTGGCAAATGCTGGACGACTGAGCTCATTTTTATTCGACTGGGTCATTCTGATTCGTTATCAAAAGCAGCTCAGAAATACGCCCAATTTAGTCAGGAGTGGATCCCAAAAACTCAATTCACTGTCACTGTTCGCTCACTTGCCCGTGCAAAGCCCAAAATGAAGATACCAATGCATTTCGCTGCTAGAGCCCTACTACACTTCTCACTTCCTGTCCAAACTCCAATCCTATGAGCAACAACAACACAGGTGCGTTTTTTAGAATGCGCCAAATAATCCATATTGGGAAATGGGTAGGTGCGGCCTTGCGATACACTTGGACGTGCCGCATCCTCCTCGTCATGTCTATACGACGATGGCACAAACACCTTCGTCTCGAGTAAAAAGGTGTTCACATGGACTGGGCCGTTGTTTGTATGCCCGCGTTGCCAATTGCGTGATGCGCTTTGGTTTGTATTGGCAAAAGGGCATCCATCCATCTACGAACAAGGTGGTGATTTCTTCACTACGGTGAAGATGATATGGAGGTCGTGAAAGGCGAGCTTGATCTTTTACCGGAAAACGTCATGTAGAAGAGCCATTTCAACGTCAAGGCCAATTGAGGTCGTGACGCCTGCACCGAAGATGTTTTGATCAGCAAGATATGGAGTACCAAGTCAAGCCATGCGTAGCTACTGTGGCGCTTACGACGTCTGAAGAACCAAATAGTCAAGTGCTGGAGTGCGATACCTGTGCAGACGACATGGACTGAGACGCACTACCAGCTTCCGATATACTAGGGAAATCGTAAATGTGCGCGGATCTGATAAGTCGTTGGATTCGTAGGAGTAGTGATCGAACACACGTCAATAGGAAATGGTTGCTGGGTGAACAATCGGTGATAAAGGGTTCGGTCGTTTACGAATTGGTGATAACCAAGGCCGCTTACTTGACGTGCCATAGATTATTGCACGCGAGTGACGGCTCCGCAGATGATTATGGACTCGAGACAGGTACAAACGAATAATTTTGGTGCCGCAAACAGCGGCAATCAGCCCCTGATATTACATCCTCATTGTGTGACACAATGTCGTCTATGTGAACGGCGTGGGGAAAAGCTAGCTTCGGCGCTGCATCAATGCGTGCGCCTCGCGCTACTTTGCACGGTGCGGGGTTTTACCTGCACCTGATCGCCACTAGAGCACCCGTCTCAATATTCCCATTCATATCTTACCGTCGTATTTAAATCCTACGATGAAAAAGTTCCAGTCGAAAGCGCTTCGGCTTATCACCGTCCTCGAACTTGACATGTTCGATACCATACGTACCAAGCGGATACGACACACACGTCATAAATAGAGAAATGAAGGCAACTCTGCTTTCACTAAGTCATCGACACTAAATAAAGTTCTTGATCTTTCGTATGCGCGCTTCGGACTACGACTCAAATGTGTGTATTCATGCTTACATCACACCATGCTAATACCCACATGCACTTCCAAGTCATCGTCATCATGTTTTATGACAATAATACTCCATGAATATGTGGGTTTTGCAATATGGCCGGGACATGCTCCCGATAGCTTCTCCTCGTCAAAACCGCTATAAACGTTTTCCTACAGCAAATCGGACCATGCAAGTCGCACGACGAACGATGATACCAGTTTAGAGCATGAGAACTTCCAGACATTTGATTTACTTCTTACGCCGCTGAATGTCTCGCTGAGTCGTGCGCTGATAACGAGATATATCCAGTCTCCGCTAGTACCAAAATTCATCTTCGTACTCTTGATGTAACAGCTTCGTTACCTGGATGGTTGAGAACCTACAGTTATCCATGTAACGAAGCTATTGACATGGAGTTTCTCATCGGGTGTACAGAACTGCTTGAGGACGCCGGCATCTTTACAAGTGAACACGACGAATGCGGAGGAAACCTACAATGATCGTACTGGCGCTTGTAGTCACACTTGTTGGCTGACGACAGGGCGATCTTTTTGTCATCCAGAATCGTTCGTGATGCGAAGAGAAGAGTTTGTTGAGACGACGCTCGACATCACTCGATCAGGTTATCATCAGCTTTTGTATACCCCCTGATTAATTCTTGGGGCAAAAGTGTCAGTAAAGCTTTTGTGAAACGTAGCTTACAAAGTCTTGCTGGTCCTTTGCGTCGATGGCTATATGAAACTTGTGATACTTCTTGACGTAGCATCTGGCAAGTAGGCTCGAAGACTGTGTGACATATAGTTCTCTGATCATGACTGGTAGTTGATCAGGCGCTGTCCTTGTATGAACAGGAGTCAAAAGCACACGAAAGTTCTCGAAGCGAGAAATCGTAGTCAAGAAACGCATCAGCAAGTGATCCGAGGACAAGAAGCCCTCATGTGCAGGCTATCTCGTTGCACCACTTTCCACCAACGATCGACAAAACATTGGAGAGTTTTAGTCCGTGCGACTTTGTAGAAATTGAAAAGAGTGCGAATGGGCCGTGGCGTGGTCGGCGATCAGCGTGCACTGTGATCCGGGACACTGCTTTGATTCATCGTTCTGCTAGTACAGCAAGTGTCGATTTCCGATGCACATAGTTCCATGGAATACACTGACGCTGTGCGCTGGTACGTCCGATTGCAATGTCGATGTGTTGTCCACTCAGGTCTGACGCGCTGAATGGACATGTGTTCAAGTTTGACACCTCTCTTGGTCCCATCGCTATGGCAAATCATCGCTTCGTAACGATGTCTTTGTCTCTGTCATTCAAACTTGTTCGCAAAATGAGCCGTGACCGCAAATCCTGTGCGCCGTCTTTCATTGCGCCATAGGAGAGAACTTCTTCGCGCGGCATTGCTGGCAGAACTAAAAAAACCGAGTTGTTTGTGTGAAGGTAAGTACTCGTACGGAATATCCCGTTGCTGTGAAACGAGATGGAGCCACAGTATAATCTCGCTGACGGGTATCAGCAGCACTATCTATGCCACTACTTTGACACGTGCGGCGTGTTGTATCCCGAAAGAAGTTTTCAGCCGGGATGTTACTGTTATCGTTGTCAGCTTAACCTCCAACACCTACTCGGGGACAGATCGGTTAGAAGAAACGGTACCGTGAGCATTTGTGTTCGTTTAGCTAACAGTCTCGAGCAGCAAAAACGCTGACACGTGCAAAAGGTATTCGCCACATGTCAATCGCGAATGATGCTCAGGGATATAACACCTGTGCATCTCTCGAGAGTGTGCGTGGCTGTGGCGATGCAATTCAGTAGCCACTGTGTTGGGTTGAAGCTTCGATTACTCAACAGATCAAGTAGACCAGCACGTTGTTTCTACTTATGGATTTCCACAAAGCACCTAGCGAGACACACGGCGATCGTGCCATCACCGTTGCGGGAAGTTCCAGAAAAGTGTCGTCGGTAGTTATCGTCAAAGTAGTTTGACAAACTGATCTACAGATGTAAATGCATCACGGCATTCGGGATCCGGTCCCTGTCAGCAACAACAACAACCAACGCATTCGATGAATCGATGATAGATAGAGTGGGGATCACGTCACTGCACTTGATAGTCCCGGTACAAAGATGATTGAACATGTTTTTGCGTCCTCGTGTCTATTTGCAGCCAAGAAGGGCGCTAGAGCGATGCTAGTAATGCCGGATGTCGTGCAACAACAATCTCTGGATTGATGCCAGCGACTCTGGAAGCGTCGAACGCTCATCCACAAGTAAGACATATGAACGACTGGACGTAGCGTTATCATCAGCTTTATCTGTTTGCGTCTCGCCGTGGTAGACAAAACAGTGGACACCACCGAAATCGACTGCGTCGCGCGACGTGTAATCCAGCACACAAGGACGTTGTGATCGACGCTATGTGGTTTTTGACCGTCGTCGTGCAACACGAGTGTTGCTAGGACCCACTCAGTAGATACCGAGACTTCGTCATCGATAGGACATCGATCGGATCGGATCGACGTGCTGCAGCCGCATAAGTTCGGACCACGTGCGGGAGCCGGTCCGGAGACCGTGGACAAGGCAGAGAGTGTTGCAGTTCGCCCGACTGAAACCCTGCTGACTCGTCCGTCCGTCGTCCAAACGGGCGTTACGACATGTTGCAAATGCACCTGTTGCAGACGTTACACCCCAGCAGAATTGCATCAGGACGTCAACCTTCTGGTGGGGAAACGATGGGCTCGTTGGTGATATGCAACTACACTGGCTCTCAACGTGCGGAAACCCACCAGGGCAAAGCATCGACCAGAGGGTGCCGCCCACTACCGAGATGGACAAAGCAAGTGGGTGACCACTTGACGGAACCCGCGACGTGTCGCTGAAAGTCGTTTACCAATCAGCCACCAGTACAGGCGGTTGACGGAATGTATGTCTATGTGTCTATGTGTCTGTATGTGAATGCGCTCGTCTCGTTTGCTTTCGCTTCGATTTCCACGCGTTACTTCTCGTGAAGTACCACCTCCATGTCCGACCGTCCAGCAAATGAACTGTCACGACGACAACAGTCTCCCCGCTCGATCGCTGCCTCGATATTTGTCAGCCACGGACGCGACTCACGAGGCGACTTGACACCTCTGTCGTACAAAAAAGAAATCCCATCCAAAGATCAAGATCAGAAGGGGGTCCAAAATAACTAGACCAACCTACAAACGTACTTGTGTATACAAACCTACCTACATACGTATGTACGTACAGACGGACATACAAACATACGTACGTACAAACAGACGAACGCACGTCGTGTGTGTGTGTAAATGAATGCGTGTCGCACCCCCAATCCCTCGCGCTCTCTCTCTATTGTCGTCGTCGTCGTCTCCCTTCGGGTGCCACTCTCTCGAGCACCGCGTGACGACAGCTGACGACGGAGCTGCTGCGTCCATTGCGCGCTCGCGGCTTCTGTGCCATGGCCTCATCTCCGGGTCGAGCCCGAGCACCTGCCGCCAAAGGCTCGACCACCATCTACGACTCGTACCCGCTGAGTCTCCGCACGCTCTTCATGGCCGCGGACGGCGAGCCACCGCCGCCTCATGGGCACTCGAGGTCGCACGTGCTCGAGGACTCGACACAACCGGTCGTACAAAAGAACGAGCTCCTCAGCACGTTGCACGACACGTCGTCGTCCATGGACTCGTCCGTGCTCGACTTGCACGACGGCATGGTACATTTTTCTCTCCTTCTTCTTCTTCTAGATAGATGGGTCTAGATTGTCTACTGCGTTGCTTTGGCGTCGCCCCTACGTGTGTACGTAGTGAGGTATACGTAGTATACGCGTGCAAATGCGGGTGTACGGTCGGCCAAACCAACGTCACAGACAGCCTTGCGTACACTTGAGATGCTGACTAATTGTTTGTTTGATTGGTTTGATTGATTGTTTGTTTGATTGGTTTGTTTGTTTGTTTGTTTGTTTGCTTCTGCAGCAATCGACCGCGGAGCCATCGTGCCGTCCGATTGGCAAGGTGCTGAATGAGGTTTTTGAGCCAAGAGAGCGCTCGAAAGTGCTCAGTGCGTTGCGACATCGAGGGAAAGCTGCAACGAAACGCACGGCTGGCGCACCGCACAACACACGGAGGCGTCCGATGGGGCCACCGCCGACGTTTACAGCGGAAGACGTGCTCCGTGCCGGCACGTTGACGAAACAAGGAAGTTGGCGTCGGAATTGGAAGACGCGGTTTTTTATCCTGCGCAGTGACTGTCCGAGTTTGTGTTACTTCACGTCGGAAGACAAGCTCGAGTTACTGGGCGAAATCGCCATCACGGAAGACACGATTGTGCTCGATCGAAGTGGCGGTGGCACGGCGCCGTTTCGGTTCCAAGTTCGATCGGACGCTCGGACGCTCTTGCTTGAAGCTGAGAGTCGGGACTTGCAGAAACGATGGATGGATTCGTGTCAAGAGCTCGCGGATGCTATTCGAGCGTCGAAATTTTCAGTGAATACGTCAGTTTCGAGTCTCTCGGGAGCTCTTGAAAAGCGACGGTCGTCGGTTGTGAAAGCAGGGGGAGGGACACGAGTGACGGATGTGGGGGAAACGAGTGCGTCGTCTCAGCACGTGGACGAGACGGAACACAGTAGTGTGCTTGATGACACGGACATGGGCTTGCGACGGCCGAGACGTCTTACTGTAGGTGACTCGCTAGCAACACAGGACAGTGGACGGTTGTATGACTTGTCCGTTTCTGTACTCATGGGTCGACGCAGTAAATTGGCACGCTCGGTCGAGCAGTTGTCGGACATTGACAAGGAGAAAGACCGCATGGGCTGTTTTGTCGCCGTAAGTGGCTACATTCACAACACCAAGCAGTTCGTGGATCTCGGAGTGACGGATGTTGTGAAGTTGACGACACTTGTGGCAGCATGTGGAGCAGCCTCGAGCGCAACAGGAGAGCCAATGCCCATGCCGTTCTCGATTGTTATGACAGCAGAGCTGGAACGCTACGATCAATTGAGACTGACGTTGTGCAAGTCGCAATTGACGCAGAGCCCAGGAACGAGTCAGGGGACGTTTGGAGTAGGATGCTGTCTTTTGGACGACCATTTATTGGGATCCACGCCTTGTGCTGTTTTAATCACCGAGTGTGGTACGGCCCTGCGAGACCCTCTCGCAGCAAATGCTCCTGTGCCACCGCAGAGGAAACTGAAGACGGGAGAGTCGAGTGAATTGCATTTGACTGGAAGCGGGTCGAACTCGACTTTTGCAGCAGAGGCTGAGAGTGTGCAATTGGTGGTGCATGCTTTCCGCTCCGTACCACCCCAAAGTGTGCTCCCCACGACAGGTGTGGACATGGCTAATGCCAAGTACCTTATCCCGTCGACGCTAGCTCCTGGTCGTGAGACTGCTAGCAAGCTGGTAACAGACACGCGTATGGAGTTTCCAGGAAAAAGCCGTGGCAGTGACGTCCGTACGTTCATGGAAAACGACACTTTTGTTTCCGATGTTGAAGTAGGAATGTTGAATGAAGCTTCGTACGGTAGCTTGCGGTTCGTGGCAGTGGACGAGATTTTGCGTGTGCCGCGGAGTACATTTGCGTTGCCGGTAGCGTATTTGGATTTCCTAGAGGAGCAAGCGCTCGAGCGCTCACGGTGGCTACAGAAGCAGCTGCTTATGAACGCTGCCCAACCGCGCAACAACGAGCGGCTTGACGTGGAACTTAATTTCTTGCGCAAAAAGCAGGAGGAGTATCTCAAACAGCGTCAGTTCCTTATTCAACAGGAGAAGAGGTTGCTAGATGAGCAAGAAGATGGCAAGTTCTTTTTGGCGGCCAAGCGCGCAGGCTTGATTTCGGTCGCGAATGAACGCGATCCAGTGTCTGCGTCGAGCTCTTCAGCGGCAAGTTCTGCGCCGAGCCTTACCGTGGCAAGTTCTGCGTCGACGAGGAGTGGAGATGCCGAGGCGGTTGCACCGTTCAAGCGTAGTACGTACAAAAACCTGAACCTCTGGCAGTTCTTGCCTACCAACATGCAGGACCAATTTCTTTGTACGTACAAGCCGCCTGTGCGAACCGATCTGAGTCATGGTGGACGACGCACACCTACCCTGCCGCGACGATTTGTGTGGCACACAATGACGATGGGCTGTCCGGCCGCTCATACAAAGGGGTTTGCCAATGGCGGCTATCCCGCTTCGGTTCCCATTATGGTAGCTAACTCAAACGGCGCACTGGATGAGGAAGTTCTGGACAGCAGGTATGGAGGCGGTTCTCAGAGACCAACTTCCCCGGTATCGGCCCACAAAGGAGGGAACAGCAATGCGTCAGGAGCACAAGGTGACGATACATTGACAGGTTTCAAGCTGCGGCTTGAGTTGCAAGACCGACTGACCGTTATCGGCAGCCAAATTTTGTCTGCTACAGCGGCCTGTATACTTGCTTCATTGGACCTGGCATTAAACGGGAGCGCCTTGCATCAAGCACAGCTCGACCGCGCCCCGACGTTTGGCTTCCTTATGAATTTTGAGTCCTTGTTGAGTACGCAGGGCAAAGAATATGGCATGCTTGAAGACTTTGCAGCGGGAGCGCGATGGTTGCGCAACATATTTATTCAGTTCCGCCGGCATACGACCACGGGTTCATTCTTTTCGTTCCGAAAGTATACGCCCCCGGGGTCGAATGCGGTTGATCAGAACTGCTTTCTGTTGACGATTGGTATTGACAGCAGCCACATGTCCGTGCTACCGCAGTCGTTAGTATCGGGCGACGGAACTGTCCGCGTGCGCTGCGTGCTGTTTTCACAGGGAGTGAACGAGAAGCAGAGTCTTGTGCATGCTTACAAGTCCAGCGCTGTCAAATTGCAGGAGCGTGTGAACCGGGACAATTTGCAGGAGTTAAAGCGTATCTACGCGCTTTACCGGCAATTGCGCATGGACGAGATGGAGAACCGTGTCTGGGAAAGCCGTCAAGCCCGGTCGAACAGCGGAGCGTCGCTTGGTGCTGCCGAGGACGCTGATGGAGCTGCCACAGCAATGGACAGACACGATCTTCAAGCTCTGGACGATTTGCTGGTTCAAATCGAGCACCACATCTGCTCTTCTACGAGCCAGTACAAGAAGAATGTGGCACTATTGATGGACTCTTCCGACTTTTGCAGAGCTTTGGGTGGAGCACGTGTCACGTGTTGCAAGAGTGGTAAGGACCGTACGGCAATGTCAGTGACGTTGGAGCAGACGCGATTACTACGCACTGAGCTTCAAGCTGCTCAAGACGCGGCACTTTGTGCCAACATGCGACTCTACGGTGTACGTCGTCGCAACGTCTTTATGAACACGAAAGCCGACAAGTTTGCCTTCAATGAGGTGCAACGAAAGATGCTGCCTGAGTGCTACAAACCGCCAGTGGGTACGTACAAGTCCGGCAAAACGTAAGCATGGTCGGCACCTTGTTCATGGCAAGAAGAAGATGATCGGAAGGACTACGACTCCGCAAAGTGAAGCGGACGAAGACTGAACGTGGGATTGTACGACCACGTCGAGGTGTCAATATTTAGGTGGAAAGTGGCGAAAACGGTGTGAATGTCACGTGCGCACTGTATCAACTCATGGCAGTGCTTGGTCACGAATAGTTCCGACTCAGCAAGCCATGCGTGGGTGCAGGTTGAGAGAAGCAGCATATCTGAGGCCCATATTTCCAGCTTCAGCAACGTCGTAGGTACCACCGCCATTGAGGAGGATCGAAGATGAAGTTCAGCTTTCTTTCTCAAGCGTTACAGGCGTCGACATGTACCTCTAGTGCCCAGTGTTGCAGCGACTTGATCACTACGACTTTGTGTACGTAAAGCGTCGTTGACTTGAGCTGTCCATTGATTCACATCATGATCGATAGCGACTAATGGAGAGCGGGCCTCGAAATCCCGTGCCTTGCGCGTTGATTTAATGTACCGGATCACAGTACCAACCACATGCATTAATCGAGCTGGAAGTTATGCAGTTGGCCTCCCCTGTCACAAAGAAGGTATCCTTGTGCCGTCAGCATTATCTGAGCGCGATTTGTGACGGTGTCAGGAAGGGCGATGATAATGTTTACAATGTGGTAAGGCTTTCCAGATCGGTAAAAAAGTCTTGAACACTTCATCCACAGCGAATGCAATAGCTTGTTATGCTACAGTATCACGCATTCGGAAGTCACGAGTGGCGGCGCGTCAATATATGTAGACGGGGACGCAGCTGTAAGCAGGTAAATCACTTCATTGTCCAACGTTTACGGCCTTGCATTACGAACAGCTCCTTTGTATGCTGACAGGCATCTGCTCTCAGGTGCTCACGAAAATCACAGGACTACAGCTACGCTCTGGTATTCGTATACAGGTAAAAACCTATTGATCGAGGCACATAGTACGCGAACGAAGAGGTGTCAATATCGTGCTTCAAGTGTCAATGTACTACTAGTAGTCCTGGTGAAAACCAGAACTAGTTAGTAGTACATCGAAGACGTCAAGAGCATTGACTTTCTCAAAGTGCTCGCCCTGTTGTACTGCAATCGTACACAATCTTCATCTCCAACACCAATGCACGACTCATTTCTTGATTTCTGAAGCTCTGACGTCGACAGTCGTGAATGTCCGTGGTAACCCACAAACAACTCGATTCCCGACAAAAATGCTTCTCTTGATTTGATCCTGACACCACTGGGCAGCAGTAGGGCTGCTACCAGCAACTTTTCGGACTGCGAACGTCAATGTTACATTCGTACTCATGTCACGATAATAAGCTCTGTTGAGCACTTCGACATAGGCGCGATTACAGACCGCAAATAACATTAGAGAGAAGGACGTGAGGCAAGACGGCCGGGTATTGACCCGATCTTCTTCTGCTTGACTTGGAACTACGTCTTGTAGTTCCGAGCGTGCATAGGACAGCGGAAGAGCAGAAATTGATCTTTCCAAAGACCTGCCAAGCCAGTAGTGAGATCGCACCAATTACGTGTCGCACGTGGTAGTGCAGCAACGGAATTAGCATGAAGATGTCTCACACCGACATCGCAGAATGCTGTTCAAGGTTACTGGTCCGAATCCTTGTCGGACTCGTCGTCATCACCGCTTTCATCGTCATCGGACTGCTGCAGCCAGTCAATAAACTCCTGCACGTCCTTCTTTGACGCAGCTGTAAGCGCATCAACAGGAGCTTCACTAGCCTGCATGGTCTTGTGCCACTCCAAAATCACGTCCTCTCCGACCCACTCCAAGTCGTACACAGTCTGCAACAAAAAGCGGAACAATGGAAGCCACAACGTCCGGCGTTCCTCTGGAGCTGCACAATAGCTCTCGAGAGCATTCACCACAGCGAGTTGGTCCTCCTGCTCCACGATACAGCGCTGAATGACCGAGCTCCACTTCTGGAACTTTGTTCGCACATGGCCCAAGATAGTCATCGCCGACAGCTCCTGGCCTGACGGGATCAGATCTAAAAGACCCGGCACGATCGCGCTAATGACATCGGCGAACGACCGATTTTGCGCGAACTTAAAGCTCTTGATCTCCATAAACAGATCATCCACATTGTGCCCTGCTGCGTCACCAGTGCACACGTTTTCACGGACAATCTGCTGGAACGGTACTTCCAGCACTGTTGCGTTGGCCTCAGCCAACAAGTCGTCAGCATCGTCATCTTCTTCTCCAGAAGAGCTCAGTGTGTCCCACTCTTCCCAACGGCGCATCGTCTTGGATACAACATCACGCGCACCGATGAGAGTGCACTTCAGTTTCTCTAGCTGACGTGCCTGCTTCTTCACTCGTGCCGCATCCTCGTTGTTTTCGTCATCCTCGCTATCTGACTCCACGTCAATGTTATCGTCGTCCAGTGTCCAAATACGGCCAACACCACCGACACCGACATCCTTTGAATCCCACTGAGCAGGTGCACCACCGTCACCAACAGGCTCTTCTTCCTCTGCCACTAGATCCGCATCTTCGTCCGAGAAGAACCCGTCGTCCTCTGCTTGTACAAAGCTCTTGGTCACTTTGGTGAATGGCGGCAGTGAGAAACCTTCGCCAATAACGACACCGAACGAGAGCAGACACCCCTCCCCAATCACAGCCCCGCGTTTCACCACGACGTTGTCGCACAAGATGGCGTTGGTCACAACTGCTCCATCTTCTACCACGACATTCGACCACAAGTAGCTGCCGTCAATCGTCACGTGCTCGCCAATGACACAATTCTTGCCGATCGCACTCTTCCGCACACGCGTGTGCTCCCCAACGGACGTCCCAGCTCCCAAAATACACTCTCGCTGCACATCACACGTCCTTGCTAGCACCACATCAACGTCCTTGTAGCGCATGCCACGCAGATACTGATAGTGCGTCACACCACCTGCTCCAAGATAATTGGCCTCTGGCACCATGGGGAACACCCAGCGCTGCACAATCGCCTGCGACACGCCGGCATACGTGCGAGGATCCATCACGCGAGCAGCAAAGTCGTCCGTGACAATCTTCACGTAAAACTTCTTGCCCAGTTCGTAGTTCTGCACTTCATTGTGCAGGAAATCCCGTCGCAACTCTTGGTAGTCGAAATCTTCGGCGAATTTCAGCAGCACTTCGGGCGAGCACACGTCAATGTAGCAGTCCACCAAGTCGCGCCGTAGCGCCAAGTGGGCGTGGTCTTGCAGGAACAACGTATCCAGCCGCGTGCTCGTCCGCGCGCGCTCGTTCTCGTACAGCACGAGCTGCGACGTCCCGGCGTCAACGCCCACAATCAGCGCGTCGTCCAGCGGCCGGACACTGGTCGCGCCACTGGGTCGCAACTGCTTGAACAGACTCGTCATGATGCAGCTACTGTCCGCTTTCGCGCGGCGCTTGTGGTCTCGGATCGCCGCGGGCAAGTCCACGTTGGCTACCACGTCGCCGCTCATGAGAACGAAGGGATTGCTCTGGACCAATTGGCAGCGGTCGAGCTCCCGCAAGGCGTCGCCGGCCGTGCGACATGTGGGACTCGAGACACACGTGACAAGTAGCCGGTGCGCGACTTGGGACTGGCGCTGGACGAACGCTTCTAATTGGTCGAAATGCCGCGTGCAGAAAAGGAGCACCTCGGCAACGCCCGACGCCGCGAGGAACTCGAGCGCGTACTCGAGCATGGGCACGTTGGCCAGTGGGAGGAGCACCTTGGGCACGTCGAGGGTGAGCGGGAGGAACGTCTGCGTGAACGAGTCGGCGAAGACCACGGCCTGGAGAGGCGCGTCCCGACGCGTGTCGTCGGTCGCGGGGGCGGGCGCCGCGCGGCGACGGGACATGGGACGAGGGATGGAGACGAGGGACGAATGACTGGCTGGAAGAGCTCCTGGGTAGGTGGCTGCGGGGTGGTGGTACCGGTAGGAGATGGAGGGTACCGGTTTGTTTTGGGTGGAACGGGAATAGGGGTGATGGTGGTGGGGGGGGGACTTGCGGGAACGGTCGTGGAACGTGCAGGTGTGGATCGACGAGAGAAAGGCGGGTAAGTGGTGCAAGTGACAGGGCGGTGGATGGATGTGACGATGGAGGGGTTTGATCGTGGGGGTTTGAGTGTCGAGCGAACGCTGCAGGGATGAGCCTGCCATCATATCGTGCGGCCACTTTGTTGAGGAGAAAAGAGCCTGAGAGGGTGCGGAAGACTCGTGTATTATGTCGGGTTTGGGCGGCGACGAAGACGGAGATTTGGATGTACACGCACAGGAACGTGTGGGTGACATTTCGATGACATTTGTGATGACGAGCCGAGGATCGGACGGCGATGTAGATGGTAGTAAGGACGATAACGTCAGTAAAACCGACGATCACGGACCCGTCATTAATAATGACGAGTGATGCAGCAACACACACCAGGACGAACACGACAGCATCAATCACATCGACGAACAAGGTAACGACAGTGATATCAGGAATGACGATAAAGAAAAAGCGACATTGAACGACAATGATAGAGACGTTCAGGTGGACGTCGGTACAGCTGGGTAATATCCCAGTTGTATCACACGGGTTTGCTCCGCACCTTACCGGACCATGATGAGCCATCCATTACGAACGTATCTAACGTTGGAAGCAGGACAAGAGTCGTTGCATGACCTGTTCCATTCAGGAGTATTTTACGATCAAGAAGAGTACGAGAAGACGCGGGCAAGAAGGAAGGGGAATGCAAACAGTAGACAAATGCTATTTCTTAGAAGGCCTTTCCTGTATTGTGTATGCGCTGGGAACACAACTCGCGATGTATCGATGAAATCTGAATGATGAAAGCGCATTCGTCGTATAGGATTCCGACAGACAGATGAACTGAAGAAAGCAAAAGGAGCTCTAGGTAAGGATCTTGGGTGAGCATAACCACGCTGCTACCAAACACATTTTCGTTGCACCCTAATGCTGTCGATGTTTGAAGTTACCTGATGCATCCAGCAATATCAGCACTGATATGAAATTTGGGCAATTTGATTAATTTACTAGGCGTCTTATGCCCACGGATTGCTAGATAAATTAGGGAGATTTTTGCCGCGCGGTCCTTCAGATCATCCTGGGGTGAACTGCGAGTACTCTGACTCAGTTTGAACTCCTTACAGGATCCGCACCCCTCATTACAATATGGGGCTTTTCGGCCAGTAGGGCCTCCAGCCCACCCAACTATCACACGCCTTGCGCGGGTTGGCAGGGCGGCCACTTCTGCGTGGTTGCTTGTCTACTATATCGGCCTATCTACGGCGCCCTGTAATCGAACCCCCACCGGGTATCGATCTTCGATGCTACCTGATGTATCCAGCAATATCAGCACTGATATGACCTTCGGGCAATCTGATAAAATTTTTGGCGTCTTATGTCCACGGATTGCCAGATACATTAGAGCGATTGCCCATATATAGCTGATCGGATACCAGGCTGGCCAAAATCGGATATGTCGCGCAAATTGTCTTCGACTACGCGACCTTTCCTTTCAACCCTTTTATCTTTTCCATTTACAATCATTCCTCGGATAACTCATATCCCAATAGTTCATAACTTACATATCTCATACAAATTGCATTCCACCGAGCTAGTTCGATGGTCGCTAACCCATAACTCGTAATTCATAATTCTCCGAAATTTATTAGCATTTTGAGGGACAAAATTATTCGAGAATACTTTTGAGTGATGGAAACCTATTCCTGTATAAGTATGCACAAGTGAAGGGGGAGCTAGTTTCTAAGTGTACCAAACTAGTAAATACAAGAATCTATGAGCAATGCTGCGTTCCGACATTACCAAGGTTAATGACTGCGTTAGCAATATCCGACCGGGTATTGCTAACGCAGTGAGAAGTCTGGGTCGACACACCGACGCCTTTACTGCGGATACTTATTCAAGAGCCAATCGCGTGTTCTATACACGCGATATCTATAGAGAGCAAGAACATCTGGTTTACGCTATCGTCGAGAGGAAGCTGTACCAAGAAATGCATTCAAGGTGTTTGCATACAGTGATGCTGACCAGCAAATTGTCCGGACACGTCACGATCGGTGACTAGTTCGCTCTTCAAGTGACTGGATGGGGCTTTCGATTCAAAGATAAGACTCAAAAGGCGGTGTCAGATGACACGTGCAAGTGGGCGCTCATCGCCGCTAGCATTTCCGTAGAATAAATCATGTGGGCTCAAAAAATAGTTGCAGAGCTACACGTGAAACAAGCACCTACTGAATTACGAATGGACATTCAAAGCACGATTACGACCTGTTCTATTGTCGGCAACTACGACGGAGCAAGTCGGTACACAAAGAAAAGCAACAAGGTCATAGAAATAGTTGAAAGAAGGTGTTCACGATCAAGTATGTCGCTAACGAGGATGATATTGCAGACATCTTCACCAAAGCCCTCGGACTTCAAAGATTTTGAAGAGGTGAGGCAGTAACTAGGAGTGACGAGTGTATCACTGATGGTTACACATCAGGATGCTTGAAGACACAAAGCGTGAGTTTCGTGGGAGTATGAGCAATGCCGCGTTATAAGAAAAAGGAAGTTCACGGTTCTGTCTAACTGCCTGCCTCGACCGTTGGGACCAGGAGTGACCTGTGGCTTCCAGTATTGTACGACCTATCGATAGATGACTGATGATTGAGGGGGTCGGAGGGAGTCATGATAGAGGTTTGGAGGTAAATTGATTCCGCTTGATAAACATAGTCTCTTGAATCCTGTGCCGAGGTAATCCAGTAGAGTCACGTTGACCCCTTCACTGTCACAGGACGACGTCACTAAACTTTGCCATGTACTGCTGCGTCCTCATGAACTTGATGTCACGCTTGCTCATATTTACGAACAGCACAGTAGTCGCTCCACAGTGCCAGTATGTTTCAACGAGGTACAAAGCGATGTCGCTCTGGTACCGTGCATGTGGCTTCATGAGCATGTAAACTCATGTATCGCACAGAGTCATATACGCACCATATGCATAATTGATGCGTCGGCAAACGTTCGTAACAAAAAGCGTGGTAACCACAACAACACCAAGAATGAACTTGTCTGAGTAAGGTGGATGATGTTCTGCGTCAGAAAGCATTCGTAGCATTTTTGCGCACGATGAACGAAGGTGTGAATTGAATCGACAGGATGTTCTTGCTCGGCCCAACATGCTCGAAAAGAGAAGCTCGTCCTTTTACATGACGCGTGATATGCAGCTCATGCAGGAAGATCGATATCAACACTGCGAGTCTACGTTTATCATTCCGCATGTCCTGTACCCTTGTTGGAATCGTCGAACTCTGCACCCATTTCTACGCTGGAGCTCGACGAAGACGGATGGCTTTATGAACTTGGAACGAAAGAAGCTGTAGGTAATAACGTGAAAGCAAGACAACGCAATTATCGGTATTCCTGACAACAAGAGTAGGGTGTGCATGATACGAGTGCTCTGCTGACAGGAAACGACACGGAGGTAAACAAACCTATAGATTAGGGACACAGATAAGGAGAAATGAGAATGGGTCAAGGCGCTGCTGAGGCAAAGTAAAGAAGACGCGCTGTTCCTCGATAGCCGAGCATTCGCAGACTCCTTACAGTGTTGACGAATAGTCGGTAGTTTTCTTACATGCTTTCCCCCCGTGTAATAGGTCCAGATAAAACAACTTGCTACAGAAAGCAACGATCGAGCTCATGAAGCCATCGTGAAAGGATATCAAGGTGGAAGTATTTTTTCTCGTGCATAAAGCTCAAAGATGACTGCATTCAAAGCAAAGTGATGGTGCCATACATAACATACCAGGCGAGGATGTGGCAAAGGATGCATATTCGGTGTGAATCACGTGTGTATGAATGTGAAGACTGGTCACCTTGTATATGTGTGCCAAATACAAAGCACGCATCGTAGAGTTGGCAGCCTGCAGCCAGCAGCATAATATTGTATTTATCAAAACGTTCTTTATTGTCGCAAGGATGTCAACGTCTCAGCAGCTGTCTGAACACGTGGCGTGGGTTCCACCCTATCAATTTGCATCCATGTAAGGTCAACAAACACGTGTACGTCATTCTCAAAGCACTGTATCGATTGTGCACATCTGACACGGTGAAAAGTGATGCTAAGATCATTGTCTTTGTTTGCATAATTATGTTAGCAATCATTGACTGAACCATGTCTTTATTATCGTCTTGGCTACGACTCAATCAAGCATGTCCTCGTCAATATCGATGCATACTGAATCTGACAAACAATGTAAGTGCGAAATGCAGCTGCTTAAAGGAGCATACTCTGTGTATGGGATTGAGGAACAAGGCCTCTCGTCACAATATCTCGGTACTAAGGTCGATTAGGTACTTCACAATTACAATTCGGTATCGACAGTTATGCGAGCACAGGATGGATGTGAGAGCCAAAAAATGCGCCACGCTTGCGCTATCCCTACTGCAAATGCAAAGCGCTCTTGCGGTGCTCATAACACAATCGCTGCTGCTGATACTAGGCTTGTCGCATTGGCGCATGCAAGATGAGATGAGCTATATCATATGAACGGATACGTACACTACAATGTCGAGAGTCTGAAATGTAGTACCTGAGAAACGTGAGAAACAGATTATAGCTTTCGTTAGTTTCCAAATGTGTCACCATCCTCGAAGCCGCGCTCGAAAGTGTGGAGTCGTGGTAAACTGACGCAGAAAGAGTAAGTTAGTGGTGACATTGTCCGTGCCGTCATCTGTATCTCCACAAGCCGCACGTATCAAGAACGACGTCCACGCGGGAATTACAGCTTTCTTCTACAAGTGGTGCCGAAGAAAATGCAATCATTCAGCGCAGTGGTCCACCTTTTGTGGTGGGCTTTGTCTTCGCGGTCGACCTGTATCGATTCTCTGCATTCTTTTAGTCATACTAGATGGTAGCAATGATCTATTTAGATCACTAGCTTTCATCAATCCATACTTCGGATTGCATATACTGATCAGCTACACCTGACCACGGATGTCCTTGCAGATCAATCATGTTGTATAGACACTACGATTTCTTCTGTCTCATTTGACCTGCGACTTGCGTGCAGATATCACTCAGCGGTAGACTACCATTCTCAGCTACGCAGGATTGGATGAGATTTGCACCATCTTGCGCAAGCGAGAAGCCATGCATGGTGTTCCACTTTGGAATATCTCCGTTCTCTAGTGTCAACCGTGAAAGCACCAGGATCTCGAAGAATTTGTTGCACCCACAAACGCTCATCGATGTAGAATATGCATCGTGGCCATATTTACGAAGTCCCTTATCTGCCGTTCGAGCGCTCCGATGAACGTACGCCGATCTTGCTTGGCGATGTCAAGATGTAATTTGACAAGTCTTGTGTGGCCGCGTTATTTGCACATGGGTGGCTGGAAGCATGTGTTGTAGACCACTGCCAAGTCCTGCTGCGGACATATGAAGCGATCCACGGATGGAACGAGTACACACTACCAGATGAATCTCCTTGATCCTCTTCACAAAGCACATCACACTGGTCCAAAGCATAGTACACATTAACGTTTGGAAGTTGATGCGTCACCTTCGAAACGGAAAGCTCCCATGTCATTTATTTTTCTGAGTGATGGGATAGGATACGATACAAGAACAGGATGGCAATATACATTACGATGTTACATGGGTGTCAGGGAAGCGTTTATCCACAAACTTGTCGTTTAGGTACGTATTTCAGTGTAAGGTCAGAGCAACTATCTCCGTCAGGTACTACGTATTTCAGTGCAAGGTCAGTGCAACTATCTCTGTCATTGCTGACAATGTCTTCGTCTTGTACAACATAAGCATTACCCATCACGCGGCAAAGGGTGCAGCTCTAGATATTGCAACTAGGGTCGATAACTTTTGTCGTATGTCAGACAGAGCAAGGCCATGTCTCTCTCATTAGCTCTCATGAGCAAGCGTCAATGTTAAAAGCACTTTCGATGACTGCGAGGCCACTGAGGAGGGTCCGCTTTTGAACATGATCCGTGACGTGTCATGCTGCAGCGTGCTGATACTACCCTAGTAATTCGCTATTTATCGTGGTTTGGACAGCAGGCGGCCCCATGCTATCAGAGAAAGGGCTCGATCGCACATCGATTCCTGTCAAGATGTCTAAATTGCTACACTGGTGACATGTTGGGATACGGCTTGAAGTATGCCAATAGGGTCATTGGCTCTTTCTCAATGTGCGTCGCTATGCCTGACAAGCGCTTTGCTTTTTACCTATAGAGGATATTCACTTTCTGATGTAAAGTGTCGCTTGCTCCGTTTTGCAATTACTCGGGATAGCACCGCCGCCACTATAAAATGCTTCTATACGCCAACGGGGAGTCCTGTTTAAACAAATCACATGTTTGTTCGACCCATCCGCTGAGAGCGCCCGCGGAAAAGCGTTTTCATATAAAGCGTTTCTTGATTTGCTTGGCCCTACAAAAAGAAGATTTACATGCGTCGTTATTGTGGTGTTGAAGTTGAAGTTGCGCGGCATTCTCAAACGTAATAAAGCATACACAGCTCCCCATCTGCACGACGTTTCGAGCTTTGGCGTCCAACGAACTGCCCTTTTTCGACCGTGTTTTTCTTGCATTCCTTCGTAGCGTACGCATTTGCTGCGCCTCTCAATTGATCCACCACGATCATTCTGGATAGGTTTGCCTCAGTAAAGACGTAGCTAGCTGAGTTCTTAATGACGATTGGATAAGGCTCGGCACTATCGCCACACGCATATCGCGGACCATGACCGGCACATTATTGTTGATCTTGGAAGCTCGCAGGTATTATTGAGGATATGAGGTCGGCTAAGGTGCTGGTTGACAAGTTGTTGTTCCTTTTAGGCATCACAGCACTACCTATGACGTTACAACGAACGAGTAGTGCTACTCACTCCGCTCGTACAATTGTCGGGTGAATTCCAGTTACAAGGTAAGCCTTAAACAATGACTGGCAATGCCGGATGGATCCTGGGCCAACAATTATGCATTCCTCGAAGCCATCGCTTGGACAGAACGTCCCGGAGATGGCAGAATCGACCTGAGATCGTTTGATTGGATCATGCTCGGTAGCAGACGCTTAATGTATGGGTAACAAGTCTGGGACCACGAAGCGCGAGGTCGATAGTGCCTCTGACTGAGTCTGCACTTTCGGTGCTACATCGACACAAGCCTCAACAACGTTTTTGTTTCGTGTATATCGGACTGGCCCTCGCTGCGGACTGCGTGCGATGGTCATTGTTCACGTCGAACGGCTCTATCATACTCAGTCAAGTGAGTTCTGGTTCGTTTCAAAAGCAAAAAACACTTTTTCGAAATTGTGTCCGTGAAGCGTGACACAACGCGCCCATCACATGCACCGAGCGATCCTGGAAGCGTACAGAGACTGGCGGCACTGTATGACGATTGCAATGTCGATGTACCACGTGCTTCCACTCCGGTTAGGGTCTCGAGATAATCATCACCGAACAGCTGTTGCAGTCGCTACAGTCACTTGCTTTCGCTATGCACGTCTGCCACCGTGATCAGTGTACGTATCAAACAACCCCGTTTTTCTCCCCTCTCTCTCTCTCTAAACGAAAAAACCCCATCTCTGAATCAACCGGGAATGTGCTAAGCGTCGGCATTGCAAAAGATCCGCAAATGGGTTCGACGCCGCCACTTTGCGATTCGGCTCGAGCGTCGCAAGCGCCACATTCGGTCCACACTTCCCCATGTTCTGGTCAGCCGCCATGGATCTCAAGACCCAAAAACGGCCGCTCTCTCGGCCTTCGTATGGCTCCTTTAACCCCCGAGCAGCCAGCACGAGCGTCTCCAGTCAAACTAGCAACAGCAGCTCGAACAGCAGCAGCTTCTACATCCCACAAAGCATCCCCGAGCACCAGCTCGTGTCGCAGTTCACGTCCCCTGGCGCTCCGTCATCATCGGATTTCCGTCGCGGCCTCGTCGACGAATACGTCGAGGGGCCCCGCACAGCCTTTGCGCGGACGCGGGCGTTGCTGCAACGTTCGGGCAACACGCACGCCGCGCTCAAACAGCTGTTACAAACTGACCAGCGACGGGACGTGGGTCCAGCCTTAAGTACGACGAACTCAGCCTCAAGGCTGTCGTCGACTCAGACCGACTCAGATGGTGGACTGCAGCAGCAGCAGCCGCTGCTGCTCAAGCCACAGACGCGGCAGGAGCCGAACCCTCAGGAAGACAGTAACGAGCACAACTACTGGATGCAAGAGCTCGCGCGGCGACGTGCGGGACTGAAGCGGAGCCGACGACGCACGTGCACTTCAGCAGGTGCGACCACGTCGCCCTTGCGCGTGGGCGTGGTCATGTGCTCGGTGCCGCTGGTGCTCGTGCTGGGCTTTGTTGTCTTTGTGGTGCTCTTTGGTCAGGCGTTGGACGTGTCCAGTAGCAGCAGTACTAGCAATAGCAATAGCCGCTATCGTGTCGATAGCGGGATGACTAAGCTGCAGGAGGATTCGAGGGAAGCTGGAGGAGAGGCACGTGTTAGTGCGGCTGGGATGAAGACCATAGGGACGAGGGGGGGAAGTGTGGCTCTTGCAGAGGAGGTATCACCAGGAGAAAATGAGGGCGGTGGGCTGAAGCTGTTGGGTGTACCCACGGACCAGAGTAGACTGCGAGGCGTACAGATGGACGATGTGGTGCAATGATAGGAGAACCTGCTATAACTTGCACATGAAACCAAGAACGGAAGAGTGAAGAAGGATGTTGCCGGAGTGTGTCTGCGACGGGATTGTCTGCTGCCGACGAGGCGGCTGCTGTCAGTGTCTGCGCTGTATAATCAGGTGAATAGCCGATTCCAAACGTGACGCATGCGACAATGGTGGCCATAGAATTAGACAAATGTGCTTTATTACTCACTCGATTTCAGCCGCCACCTTTGTACTTACGTTGTAAAGAAAAGGTTTAGCAGGCCTCGGAGGTACGCGACGATCTCCCCGGCACCTAACTTGGACTCGCCATAGATACGATCGACAAACGTAATCGGCACCTCGGCAATTGAGTACTGGCGTTGGCGAGCGCGCACGAGGATCTCCATCTGGAACACGTAACCCAGACCCTGAATGGATTGCATGATGTCTTCGAGGACGTCGCGTTTGTACAAACGAAAGCTGCCCGTAAGATCCGTCACGGATGGATTCAGCAGCACCGTCGCGAGGTAATTGGCCACGCGGCTCGTCAGCTTACGACGCAGGTCCCAGCCGTACACCTGCATACAAAAAAGTATAAGCGTGGTCAAGTTACGCTCTCCACCTAGTGCACATCGTTGAATCGCACTAACAAAAAGAGCAAAGACGTACACCACCACCCGACGCGTAGCGCGTGCCGGTGACAATATCGCAGTTCCCTCCTGCCTGTTTCCTATTTGACAATGACATTAGCATTAGCATAAACTTAACGGGTGCATTGAGCTGCCATTCTTGTTGCTTGAGTTCCATGACGTACTTGATAAACTCGGGAATGAACTTGGGCTGCACCATAAAATTACAATAAAAAACACAAGCAAAAACTTGTCAGATAGACGTCGCAACGCTCGCTTCAATTGCACTTTGTATAAAACGTGAAACGAGTGACGCACATGATGCGAGAGATCGGCGTCCATGAGGAACACAAAGTTCCCTGTGGCTTGCTTGAGACCATCACGATAGGCGGATCCCAGTCCCAATTTACCTGCTCGTGGTAAGATCACGATCACGTCTTTGCCGTAAATCTGCTGCAGGTCGCGTGCCACCTGCAGTGTCCCATCTGGACTGTTGTCCTCGATGACCACAATCTCGTACTTGAGGTTACTGCAATCAAACCGCATTATACAAAAAGCACCATTTTGTTTGAAGCGATTAAATAGCTGACATTTGTATTTGGTGCACACAACACAGAGAGCAAGCGACAACATGGAAACGGCACGCACTTTTCCGTGAACGTCTTGTCCAGTAGCCAGATGATCAGTGGCAAGTTTTCGCGCTCGTTGTACGTGGGCAGTAAGACCGAATACTTGTGCTCGCTCGTCATCTTCTGAGCTGCTGCTCGGTCGTGAAATTGCTACGTGTAATTTGGGTACGCCACTCGACGTGTGTCGCTGAGCATTAAGGTGGAATTGTATCGTTTTTTTAGTCTGCGGTAAGGTAAACGCGTGCAATAATTGGTTTTACATAGCTATTTCGATCAGCTTAAACATTTTGTCGCGGTGACACGATGGTCATTGGCTCACGTGGCATCTATTTCTGGTGCAACAGTGTAGCCATATGCTGTGCGTATCCACAAAGGTACCTGCGGATTAATCGTCTATGATGACTAATTTTGATCAACCTCTTTTAGGTCGTCTCTTACTGTTTGTCGGCTGGGCGTGGTGTATACTTAGTGAATATTTGATGCTAACATGCGTCGACTTTAAACAATGTATCGAACTGTTTTACAATAATTTGATCTTATTCCTCTGATGTGTCTTAGCTGGCGTCCTGATGTCCAAGCGACCCGAGCGTGTCAAATGCCATTGTGCCGTAGGTAAAAACAACATGTGCTTTAATGCCGAGGCAGCACATTTCGCTGTGAAACTTACTCACTGCAGTATTTGGACTGCGTGTCAGAGTGTGAACCCATGTGAGAGGTGCACGCCGGTAACCGCCACCCTAAACTCCTCAGTGCCACGTGTAGATAAAGATAAAGATGTGACTGCTCACGACGAGATCTCATCACTCGTGGATATTTCTTAGCTCACTGGCGGAGTTTCCTATTGCACCAGCGTAGGCTTTCATCAATGCAGATTACAGTCGAGTACTCTGATAAACGTCTTGGCTGCAAGCAACTTCTAAAGTCACCAGATGCTTGTGGTGGCAACACGGCCAAGTAGCTACCGTTTGTATACTTTCTAGTCGCACTCTTGCTGACTTACTAACGGTCCTTATGGATCATCAAACCTGCTTAAGCTCTACGTTCACGACGTCGTCACTGCTAGCAAGTTCATAGCAAGCTTAGTTGAAGCAATTGCTTGACCCTCTTTGGCAAACGTCACGCCTTCCAGGCCAATCTGATTGTAGAAGACACTTATGACGCTGAAGACTCTGGTATAACACATTGGAAGCAGCTCTTGCAAAGTGTTACGTACTGACTAATCAATAATGCCAGCAGCTCACTTGGGCCCAAACCCCTTGTTCTTGACTACACGTTTCCTGCACATGGCATCGATCCCTCCAGTCCCTTGGCTTCCTTTGCACTTCGGTTGCGTCCGTCGCAGTAGTCGTCACAGTCTCTTTTCTCTACCAATATCCAGCCATTCAAGGCCTTGTTGCGATACAGTTGGTCCCAAACTCATCTACCCACCCGCACACCTTTGCTTAGAAAACTTGCAAAGCTCACAGCTTTTTCTCCATAACCAAAAAAGCTGCTGACTAGCTGGCCGCATCTCCATAGAATCAGCCACTCGACTAGTCCTCATCTTCATCATCGTGCAGCGACGCCCAGGCGTTTTTCGTCTCGACGGCCTTGGCAACTGGCGCCTTCATGTTTTTCTTGAGTGGAGCATTGGCACCATCAACTTCTACGCCCAACGACGGGAACGCACGTTCATTGTCCAGCTGCAGGCGGCGATTCAGACGATTGCGGTTTTCCTGCTCGGCCCACGTTGTCGGCACTGCTTCCTGTTTTTTCAGTCGTACATGAAAAAAAAAGTCAAAACCACCACGAAAAAGCAACTTCTCTCGAAAAAAAATTAAACGCTTTTTTCGAGTCGTTCTAGAGCGCACCTTGCCCTCGAGATTCTTGTACTTCTTGGGCTGCTTGGCCCACTGAAAAGACGTCTTTTCAGCCTCGTCATCAGCTCGAGTCAATGACAAGTCGGACAGTTTCTTGCCGGTTGCAGAGGCAGCAGCAGCAGCAGGCGCGGCAGCTTTTGGCACCGCGGCGGCCTCTGCAGCAGCAGCAACCGCGGCGGCAGCACGCTCGGCATTCTGGGCACTTGTCTTGACAATGACATTGGCATTGACGGTCGTGGACTTCTTGTTCTTGTTCTTGTTCTTGCCGAAGAGCGACTGGAGCTTTGAGTTCGGGTCGGCCATGGCTACGCTTGAGGGGTCAAGGAAGGATCGGGATCAAGTGACTGGCTGACGGGAATGCGTGAAGGGGCAGACGAAAAAGCGTCTTTTAGTCTATTCTGTGGTGTAACTTTCTATAAAATCGCTTCGTTGGAAAGCCCGAGCTCGACACGGATTTGACAATACAAAGAGTCCAAACCAGCACGAACTCGTCCGATGGATGGGTATTCGCCATCCAGCCGCACAGATTATGGCTAACCCACTGGTTTCACTCTGGAGAGTGATAGAAAAATCACTCGTCCAACGGATTAGGAAAGGAAGCTCGCTCCCAATTCTGCACTTTCACCACTTATTTCGGATACGGCTCGTGTCCGACCTGCCCCTGCCAACCTATGATGCAAAAACTGAAGTTCGAAGGTTCACGGTCGTCAACAAAGTGATCGCTCGCTGTCTTCTTGATGCGAATGTCAATGAAGACGACTTTTGTGAGGCCAAGCATGGGTCAGTACAATGTAGACAAACATGAACCGATTCTCGGTAGGTTCACCATCTCCAGTTTAACGTTGGGTTGTTCTGTATAAATTAAAGCACCTTCGTAGCAGAGGCACAAGACTCATGCAATCAGGCCTGAAAGAACGATCGGTTCCCATCTTGATGCTGGACGTGGACGCAGATACTTGATAATAGACACGATACATGATGTTTCGAGGATACGGGATTGCTTCCGAAGATGTCACCAAGCTCGTACCAGATCGTCTACTTGCTACCAAACTTGCGCGAGTTTTTTGTACTGAGCTGTTTTTTTTGGTGACGCGCACCGCGTCAGAATAAGCGTTCTTCTAGACTGTGGGGTGCGCATCACTACTATACATGCTGCAAAACCAGATACGATGTTTGATACGAGTGCTGCTAGAAAAGGTATCTCAATGTACATCGTCGTTTACATGTCGGAAAGTAGGCATCGGTACAAGGCACAACTACAAGGAAAACACTTGCTTGATTACACTACTACGATGACGATGAGGGCGGGTGCCAGGCGTCAAACCTTTTTTCTGCTATGAACAACGCTTTCTGCAGACTTATACCCCCTCTTACCATCAAATTGTCAATGATATCACCCGTTTCTACACCGAATTTGTTCCACCACTGCTGGAACAGCCAGTCCTCAATCCCGCGTGCTATCATCTCCGTGTCTTTGTCGCCCATTGCTCGCATGATCGCGTCGGCGAATTTGCCGTCATTACCGTACTTTTTTCGTAGAATGTTGTTCAGGTCTACCAACTTCCTTCTTGCCGGTGGCAGCTTCTCGATGAACGTGGTCAATGCATCCCTGTACTCATACCGGAAAAATTGTTCGTTGCTGAGCTGCAGCGACGAAATAACGTTTTCGACAGTCAGCCCACGCGCGATCCATCCACGGGCCATTTCGTCCTGCAACCTCGTTGCTAGATCTCCGGGGTGAGGGGGAGAAGCCTTTGCCATCGCTAAGATCGGACTTAGCTTGGCTACACTACCGAATCCTTTTATCAGCGTTCCAAGCAGCCTATGCTTCGTCGATTTCTGTATGTTGAAGAAATCAATATAGTCCTGCAACAACTGCAATCTCAGTGATGCCAAGTCCTTGTCGCTCTGCAGGTCCAGCAGTCGAAACACTTCGTCAACACTTTTCCCGCTGTCATACCAACCCTCAAGCTGATGCTCCAACATCTCAGTAGCCACTGCCGCCCGAAACTTATTGCCAGAGACTCGAGCCTTAAGTAACACCTCAGCCGTGGGGGCGACCCCGTATTTCGTTGACAGAGCTTCAACCAACACGACGGTCTTTTCAGGATCCTTTCGATTCATGGTCTTATAGAACCTCATCAGAGCCTCCAGATTCGATCGTGAAAGCTGATCCCAGAAGTTCTGCGCGAGCTGATAAGGACTATCAACGTCGGCTGTACTGGGATGAAACCGGTCGAGGACTTCGTCCCGGCTTTTGGCGTTCATCACCCACTTTTTGGCTCGAAAAAAGCCGACGACCTTTGCAGCGAATGACTTGATCTTCTCCGTTATAGCGCTGAGCGCGGACGGCATTCTCTCTTCTTCTTCTTCCGTGGACGCGCTCGACCCTCGCCAACGAGCAGGGGGGGTGTCATCAAGGTTGCCTGTAGACGAGCGAAGCTGAGCCTGGAAGGTCGCTACGGCTACATTGGAATATGTGGCGTACGTGAGGATCAAACTAAAGGCCAGGGCCGTGGAGGGGATCAAGGCGAGCCGCATGCTGCGTGGTGATGGACTCTGGCTGACCCAATGGCGAATGATGTGACTGGCTTTCGAGCATCTCCGGAGGGAGACAAACGTGACTTTCTGTCCAATCAAATTGCGTATTTTCTTTTACTCATCCCGCCCGCCACTCATTGCGTGCTTCTGTCGTGGCGAGACTTTGTTGGGTGGTATCTCGGTCTTATATCAACGAATGGGCAGCGTATGACATCTGCGAAGCATTATTATCTATTAGAATCAAATGGGGAGAATATGTTATTTGTCCGTACATGACATTCATGCTTGATAATTACCTTATGTAAATTATCAAGCAACGGAGGCGCTGTGTTTTATCACTGTGATGGGGCACTGGTCACTAGTACTGCTTCAGTACTAGCGCATTTACACTGGCAACAGTGTAGGTAGTGCCGCGCGTCACTTCACGTACACCTTACATGCAGAGTAAGGCTGGCAAATGAACGACGCGTTCAATAGAAGTAGAAAATATCGAACCTAATTAAGTCCTGATTGCATGTACCCATGTTTAGTTCTAACTTTATTACGTTTATTTACAAAAGCGTGTGCTATAGTCTTGCTCACAATTCATTTCGCACGTCCATCGTTGATTGGACCGCTATAGCTGGCTAATATGATGGCCCATATAAGCCAATCGGTGAGTTCTTCGGAATGTTACCTCTTATGGTAATATTCACGAACTTTATCAACCTTTGTGATAGTACACTAGCTAACAAGCATCAAAGTTAATTACATGTAACAGAGGCAACCCGTGACAATCACCCTCCCCTTAACTGTCAGTCACATTAGTGAATGATTGATGATTGAGCGACTCTTTTGAGTCTATCTGGAGCAGGAAGCACTTGTCTTGGTCTGATCCACTCATTTTTGGATCTTCATCGCATGGTCAACAATTCCATGCAATGCGCGACGGAGGCTGCTGAGAAGACAGCTACGCACGTTAACGCAGCTGCTCTTGAAGATGCTCAGCCTCTTGCGGCAGAAGATGCTTCGTCTGCCGCCGCTTTAACTTTTCATGCAGTACCAGTTGCTGCAGAGACACGTGGTGTGTCACCACGTGCTGATGATGATAATGGTTCCCAAGTGAAACTCATCTATTCGGGGGAGTCGGACGGCGGGTCGAAGTTGAAGAAGACGCCTAGGTCGCCTTAAGTCTTCAAGGGTGACCGAATACGAGCCTATGAATAGGAATCGAGCGGGTAGTCAGACTCATGGTCACTACAAGAGCCTGTTTAGTTTGGAGAGTGAGTGTTCTGACTCATCTCCTGCGTCTGCTGCTACGCATTCGCTAGGAAGCGAATGCGGTGATGTGTTACAACGTCTTGATGATGATTGTAGTGGTACCAAGACTTTCGATGGTACCACGCAGGTTTATAGACGGCAACGTGCTGCGTCTAGCCCATAAACACAAGCCTTAGGTCCTACCAAAAAGGCTTGTGAATGACTTGTCAGGTGAGACAAGTCAACATCAGCAAATCCATATGGTAGATGACAGGCTGTTGCACGGCCTCGACATCAGCGCAAGTAACTTTCGCGATGAAGAGGACTTTCATCTCGATGCTTTCATAAAGCATCGTTGGTATAGCGGTAAAAACAAGCGAGGTAAAAGCTCGTTGCTGCAGGCGTAGAACGCTATATACTCAATGACCAGCACATTGGGCTTGATGCCTGGCTACGAAAACTTGACGCAGCTCATGTCGGATTTGAGAAACGAACTTAAACGGATGCAAAAGTCAGGTTGCACTTTCTGTCTCTTGAGGCATAAATTTCATGCCTCACATGGGGCGACCCATGTCCGTGTTGTTTCGACAACGCGCAACGCAGTCAAATGGACGTGTACTCCCTATCTCCCCCTGGGTTAAAACGATCATATCTTCTGCGATGCGCGATGCGATTGCTAACCTACAATTAGCGCCATGGGCGCGCGTTCTCAGATGGACCTCCTGAGTCATCGGATTTGTCTCGTCGTACTGGTAGACGAGACCCTCAATGTCAACCATCAGCTGCGCGCGAGGCTCCCAGTTGTCGTGCGACGGCGGATAGCCGCGCCAGCGAATAAGATGACTAATTCGCTGCCTCTTCACGTCACGTTTGCTCAAGATACGCTTCACGTGAAAGCATTGACCACCGTGCGAGTCCACCAGCGGCTGAGGTGGGGGCGGGAAGATCAACTCCAGATAATGTGTTGGGGTTGCAGACGGAGCTAGATCGTGTTCAGCAACGTGTACACGATCCGTGCAATCGCAACGATCAAGAATGACAGTAGCATCTCTCTTTGTATACCTGGGTGCAACGCCTTCGAGTTCATCGGTCTGATGAACGAGCGGAGTTCGCGTTCTTCCAATTGGAGAACGAGCAGAGGCGTCAAGACTTTCGCGACGAAGGGTCTAAACTTCGTCGACAAAATGCTTCACTACAGAGCCAGATTGCGAAACTGGCTCGTGACCATATGAATCTTTTGAAGATTCTTGAGCGTGGAGGTGCATTCACACGAGATAGAGAATTCGTATCAATTGTAGGGGCGGAGACGGCCGACATAAAACGTAGGATGATTACGCATCCTGCGAGGCAACTCGATCGTGTACGCATTGACTTTGCGGAATGGTAAACGAAACGGCCTGATGTACTTGGGTAGTTTTCTACTACTACCACATTGGTTACTACGTGCTTAGGGAGATTTATCGTGGACAATAAACTAAGTCTTCGTAAGTAAATAGGAGAACGCTTGCTTTTCCACGTTTGTCAGCGTTTCGTTTCTGCCGGTCCAACGCGTCAGCGATGGACTCTTGCACAAAACAGGTCACTGCTTCTCGAGTCGACAAAAAGTTCTCTGCTGACTCTGTTATGTTTGTATCAGTGCGCTTGGTGCGCACTGCTAAGAGCTGTCTCTCTTCTTCAGCAAGAGTGTCATCATCATTGCTGCAAAGTCATTAGCTATACTGAATATACTAGCATCGTCGTCCTCTTCTGGGTCACTATAGTGCTGTCGCTATCGCTAATTTTTCTTCTTCGATGTCGAATTGTTTGACATCGGTAACGTTCGAGTCGCCCAGTACTTCGACACGTAATAGGCAAGATCCAGAACAGTTTTTTATCAAGAGACCCCCCCCTGAAATTAGATTCACACTCTTAATGAATGGGTAGACATGGATGGCGTCAGCTATACACGAAGAATGGTGTATGCGTTGTCGACGCATGCACGACGTTGATAATGGCAAACACCGCCATCGGCAAAAGGACGCGTCAATATGTTGAAGATTGGACATATCAATTAAGTATTGCTTTGATGATGCGGTTGGCGCGTCCTGTATGACCGTCTGTCTCGGTACGGTCAGAAGTAGACATTTTCAGACGTGTTACGAGGGTCGAAACTGATTGCCAAAATGCCACCGTGAATCGATGGTCTATAAAAGAGACTAAACTTCTACGGTGCAGACCGTCAAGTCGGAATACTGTGTCAATGAAGACACGGGCACAGCACGGCGCTGTGATTGAATCCCTAACGGCAGCAGAATGTAATATTCTGCTTGAATGATCAACAAACACAATAATGCCACTATTCCTGTTAGCATCTTCGAGGAAACCGAAGGCGAAGTTATTTGAAACGACTGCCAGCACTCTGCCGGGATCGGTAGAGGCCGTAGTGGCGTGCGGTACGAGGGAATGGGCTTTACACGTTGGAAAACCTAGCAAGCACGAATGTCCTTTCGCACAAAATGATACTGGCGGGGCCAGTAAAAGTCGCGACTTACTGCAAGTTAAGATTTCTCAAGCCCACGATATCCAATGGTTGGTGCATCGTGAAACTCATACAAGATACGCAGGCACAAATCGTTGTGAGTAGGAAGACAACACGAGGTGTGCCACCGGCATCGACCGTGTCGTACAGAAACCTTTTGCGTGTTGTGTACCAATCCGCAGAGGATCGATACAAGGCCAGTAAAACTTTGAGAGATCTACGAGATTAATCCACCAGATAATCTATTAGTTGCAGAAGAGCCTTATCTTCTGCGTAGGCCTTTTCGATGTCGCTAATCAAAGTTGACGACGGAACACTAGTGACTTGTGCTGCAACAGTGGTTTCAAACCTACTGCTGATCTGCGCAGCCGACTCGGATTCGGGTTGGTGCGATTACGCTTCCGCGACGACCTTAAGTCGTCCGATTTTGTATTTTACGGAGAAGATGTACTCCGCAAAGAAGGACATCCAACTCGCCATACTTTGCGAAAGGTGTTGACTGTTTACTGCCGTGCGCAATGACGCATGGTCCGTATATACTACAAACGACCTATCTCCTAGGAGATAGATTCAGAAAAAGAACTTCGTAAGTGCATACTTCATGGCAAGAAGTTCCTTATCATGCAGTGGATATAGTCGCTTTGCTGCTTTGATCTGACGCAACTGGTAGCAGAAGACGCGCTCTGCGCCGTTTGCATCGTAATGAACTAACGCATAGCCGATTGCGAAATCGATTACGTCACAGACCACGTGGTTTGATCTGTCCTGGTCTGGAATCGCCAAAATGGGCTATCGCATCAAGCTCTGCTTGATACAGTCAAAGGAGCGCTGATAATCAGCGTCCGATGACCACCTCTCGTTGTTTTAGAAGACGAGAATGATGAACAGTCAACTCGGCGTAGTTGCGCGAGTACTTGTGCAATTAAGAAGCTAAACCAAGGAACTTATAAGTACTTGACATCGACTAGCACAGGCCAGTCGGTGATCGCCTTGATACAGTCGGGATCAGAGCGTACACTGTGTTTACCCAAGATGCACCTACATAGTATTTCGCTAGCAGAGAATATACACTCCGTCAGGCTGGCATACAGCAATGCTTCCGCGTAAGTGTAAGAACCTTTTAAACTAGTATTTAACACATTTACGTTCTTCGTTCTATCTATAATCCGTCTATGGACAAACACATCGTTAAAGTAACTCGGTTCAAAATTCTCACACCGGTCTCAACAGATTGCTTACACATCTGTTGAAAGCATGGGCGTTACTCAGCTCCTGTGGTATCACTAGCGACTCTCGTAGCATACCGCTGGGGATGCTCACTACTGTAAACGGGATACCCTATTCAAGCATGAGGGTCTGACAGAACCCGCCCATCAGAAACGTGGATGAAAAGATGGTACTTATGATGTACCATCTATGGTGACGTCCTTTCTCGGTATCGGCGTTTGAGCCGGTATTGTTGCGGCATTTAACTTGCTGAATGCGTGCACTATCCGCCACCCCTGACGCCTTTTGCACACAGAAGGTAAAAACATTGTGAGAAGAAGTTGATTTCCTCACATCATCCGCTGCGAAGCGATCGGCAACGAACTTGTCGAACGCTATTAATTGTTCAAGAAGCAGTGCCACTGCCTAATGACACATTACTTCGAGCCCGTTTGAGCTCGATATAGCGTCGAGTGCCTTTGTCCTTAGGTGATTTGCATAATAAGGCTTCGGTGAACACGTCCTCGGATTCGATCAAATCATTGTATAAAGTATTTGCCTGAAGCGACTCTCAAGATTAAGATGTCTATCGATTAATCCGAGTCTTCTCATCAAGTACACTTTCGTCCATCGATGAGCTGCTGAGAGCCCGTTCGTTCTAGGCAAATTCAACTGCAGACCGAATGTCGTTCACGTAATTGTCCTCTGTGATGAGCACTCAGATCTGCTTAAATTTGCCACTACGCAGATCTCGCAAAAGCCGCTAGATTCTAGCGTTGGCGGTTGTGTGATCTCCAAATTCAACTTCGAAGGAGCGATAAGATCAAATGTAAAAGCGCCTACAATTGAATCTTCATTAGCCAATAAATTTAATGTCTCGCTTTCTTCTTGGAAATTTTTTCTACAGGCTGCTGATGATTAATTCCTCAGCTTAATGAGGTATTGTTTCCTCATCATGACTGCTTATAGAATTTCCTTCTTTAGTACATGAGGACTTATTCTCTGGACTTCTTTTAGCTGAAATTGCACTACCACTGCTAGGTCCTCTACGCTCGACTCTCCAGACGATCTAGGATCATCGTTTTGCCCAGTGTGGGCAACCGGTATATTCTTCCTTGGATGACGATCGCTAGGCGTACACCCATTTCCCGATTAATCTAATTTTTCGAGTGGTGGACCGTCGGTGCTGCCTGTGAATCTGCACAGT